GACAACATATGAGACCAGAGATCCAGGTCTCCTTGTATGAACTAAAATGAAATATTCCAATATTGAGAGTAAGAACAACCTGATCCATGAACACTGAAGAGTTTTAGGCACTTTTCTTCATTATTTTAGTGTAACCTTTTGCATATCCAAGGCAGAATAAATCTAATTCTTGGGATAAAAATAGGGCTCCCCCCCCCCCCCCCCGTTTTCTAGTCTACAAATCATTCAATTAAATCAATTGACCAGCAATGGCTATTCCCTACTGTTTATCTGAGTGGAAAGGCTTAGCATGAGATTAATTTCATATTACTCCAGCAAGCTCACTGGAGGCAATCTGCTGGGCTCCCCCTGCAGTCCATGGCGAACATGAGGTTTAAAACGTGTTCAATGATAAAGAAGCAGACTTATATCTACCTTTACACATTTATAGAAATTACATTGTTAACAGCAGGGATTTAAACCAATTTTAAACATATTTGCTCTATATGTACAAGTAAACTCTTCCTTTTACAGCTGCGTGGTAGGTCTCTTGACTGATATTAGTGGTATCTCTGGTCATAGAACAGGTACCCGTCTAATGAATGAACTGGGATTGGTAATGGGAAAATCAGAGCAGAACTTTCCCTCAGGTTACATAAAATTTCATGCCTGCACTAGACAGCTCATTACAAAATTTAGCATGGTAGGTATAACTAGAATAGTTTTTTGAAACAAGAGTCAATCAGAAAGTTTTGGTACAAAAGAATTATTTTATTATTGCTTAAAAAAATTGAGAACAAAAATAAATTCCAGTGTATTAAGTTTTCAGAGGACAACTTAATAATAACAAATAACAAATGTTATTCCATGAAGTTCACATGTGTCATAATACTTAAATAGTAGGACTAGAAACAGTAATTAATTTTTTTCCATCTGTCTTCCCACATATCAAGAAATTATTAAAAATAGAGTGAAGAAAAATTATAGGTTGGACTAGGGAAAAAAAAAAGCAACATTCTATTTTTCCTGAAGCTTTTATTGTACTACTTCCAGAATTATTCTGGCAAACAGAAAGGGTTGGCCATGATCTTAGTGAATTCAATCATTGAATTTTACTAATTTTGAGGTTTTCACACTAGTGTCAGGCATCAGTTGAGGAGGCTGTCAGCTGGTCTCCTTACCTAGTCAGTGAAGGCAAAAAAGAGACATATTTTCAATATATCTTTGACTATTGCACTAGAGAAATTCAAAGCAGATTAAATGCAAGAAGTATGTTGCTTTAATGAAGTCTTAGAGATGAAACAGTCCTGGAAATAGCTACAAACATCTTTCAGGGTATGTATGATGTTGGGGGTAATACTGAATATCATCAACATCACTTATTGAAGGTGTACGTAGCCTACTAGTTGCTAACACCAAAAACTGTTAACCAAACTATTTTTGGGACTGTCCTTCACTCGTACTAGCAAAGGAAAGGTAAATTTCTTCAGAAAATATGGAATGAACAAGTCAACCAATATATTTTGTGCTTGTTTCATCAACACATACTCCGCACAAACTGCAGTATGGACCCATACATTGAATGTTGAGTGATGTTCCCTGAAATGCTCAGATGTGAATCCTTAGAGATAAGAAAATGAACTGCTAACATTTGAATAATTAAATTTTTCTCAATCTGAATAATTTAACTTCGTTTCTTGGAAAAATCACAGCCCTAAAGCAGAAACGTTCATGATTTTATCACTGGAGTTTACTTATACAAATATCACAGGTTTGACACAACGCTGTTGTGTTTTAATTAAATCAGTGTCATGAGCTTTTTCAGGAACAAGCTGAAATCAGCCCACAGACCAAGGTAGTAACTGTCCATATTAAAGTAAAACAAATCTAAATGAATATAATCAAACTGATAGCTGGTGAAAAGCTGTATCAACTGAGCTGAGGTAAAAATAGCCACTGAATTGAAATTATGTATATAGTCTAAAAGACAGTAGAAAACTGGGTCAGATATTTGGCTGCTTTCGTCCATAGGAAACATTTGTGATCCCTTCCAAAAGGCATTTTTCCTGCTGAAATGCTACAGTAATGTAAGAAGACATTGAGATTGCTGTAGTACTGGTGTTTATAAAAACAGATAATAGGGACTTGAACACTGTAGCACTTTTCCTTTGTGAACGTTCCAGTGCTCATAACAATGCAACTGACTTCTCACAAAATGGGTTGACAACTTGGAGATCAAGCAGAGAAGCACTAAGAAAGGTTATAGGGGGCATTTTGGCACTGATTTACTGAAGTGCAGACTGTAGTTTAAAGTGCTGGGGAAATGTCTATAGACAAAAGGAGTTATTGAAGTTACACTTGAACTCATATGCCATAGTGCACATAGTAAAAATATAGTGATTGCGTGAACCGTTTTGCTTCTTAGGAAATCAGTGTTGACTGCATTTCTCTCTAATCACTCCTGGCTCAGGATTAGCTGGGTTTTATTAATACAAAAACTGTTTAAATTTGTCCAGATGCTATTGCTGCATTGTTCAGCAGTTGATACACCTCTTGCAAATGAAGATGCATGCATTTGCAAGATGATCCTGAGAAATACTTGATAGCTTGCATTAGATTAGAAAAGCATTACACAAACCAACCTGATTCTAAGAGGGAGCAGATAGAGATGTGGGGTGTAAGTAGTTTAAAAAAACCCCTTCCATCTCCCCTGGAATCTGATCTGCTCGACAACTTCGTAGCAATCTGCTATCCAGCTCTCAGCATTTCCTAGCACATAAGGTTTGTGGGGTGCAAAACCAGAAAGAACTTTACAAACTCTCTAATGTAGAGAGATGTGAACCTTTTGGAACAGGTCCAGAGGACGGCTACAAAACTGGTCAGAGGGATGGAGTACCTCTCCTATGAGGAAAGGCTGAGAGAGTTGGAGTTGTTCAGCCTGGAGGAGAGAAGGCTCTTGGAAGACCATTTAGCAGCCTTTCAGTATCTAAAGGGGGCTTATAAGAAAAATGGGGACGGGCTTTTTAGTAGGGCCTGTTGTGATAGGACGAGGGGTAATGATTTTAAACTAAGAGAGGGTAGATTCAGACTAGATACAAGGAAGAAATTTTGTACCAAGAGGGTGGTGAGACACTGGAACAGGTTGCCCAGGGAGGTGGTAGATGCCCCATCCCTGGAAATATTTAAGGTCGGGTTGGATGGGGCTCTGAGCAACCTGAAGCAGTGGAAGATGTCCCTGCTCGTTTCAGGGGGGCTGGACCAGATAACATTTAAAGGTCCCTTCTAACAGAAACTATTCCATGATTCTATGATTAGAAATCAAAAAGTGCAAGGGCAGGGAGTGTTGCATGTATGCACCCACATGCTCTTTATGAAGGGCTAGTCATGTTCTGGCTGTTTGAAAAGCATAAGGCAGGCAGCAATTTGTTGATAACAAAAGCAATTACTATGGAGAAATTAATTTTTGGTGCAGTTAATGGAGAAAGCCATGCAAGAGCCCAGGTGAGGACACGATCTATCTAACCTTAACTGAACGAGCACAGGTTTTAGCACCAGGGCCTCATAATTTCAAGGATGACTTAAAAGTTACTAAAAAAAATCAGCAGTTGATGCTTGTTCATGGTTATCTTTACCTTAAGCTTCATTGGGTAAAATGAGCATTTACCTGTTCACATGCAGACACTAAATTTAGGAGTCTTAACCCCCAGCTGAATTCCACCTTGTGTCTCAGGAGCTGCCAAACAGGAGGTTGATAGCTCCTCTAGAGAAGGACAGCAGGTCTAATATTTTGAGATTTGGCCTTCTATCTTTTTTTCTCAAGACAGATTTTTTATTCCTACCACATAGTTATAGAACAGTTGTGGCATAAGTACAACTCTGGTATCAATAACAGAGACAGACAGACATTGAGCTAAACTTGATCCCACAGCTGAGGCAACTGGATGTCTGCACAATCGCATTTATGACCTATTGGCACAATCCTGCTACATATCTGATTTAATATACATGACACTGTGACCATCAGGCTCCATATTCCTTGGGGATATTGTCATACAGTGTCTAGCACAAACAGGGTCACAGGTTGATTTTGGGAGGCTGAAATGGGCTGAAATGATGCAAGACCCAATTAAATACTTCAGTAGTACCTCATACCCAAACGTGAACTCCAAATCGTGTAATTGTTCTTCACCACCACTACATTTAAGGGCACTCTAATTTAATTGATATAATCCTATCTCCCAGGCTAACTTACTCCAAGAGAAACTTCCTTTCTAATGTGTTTCTCACAAATTATTCATCCTTCCTTACACCAAGACACTGCACACCTTTTAGGACAGAAATTAGGACAAGGGACACTAAGAATATCAAAAGATAGTATCTTTCATTTTTAGGAGTCTGTAGACCCTTTTTCTTCCCATTGTGTTTTAGCTACTAAAAGTTGCCAGTTTAAGAAAAACAACTTTGGGAATAATATTTTTAATCACAAAGTTTATTTACTTAGTAAAGTTATATTACAATATGTACAGTTTCTATTTACATACACACCTTTCTAAGAAATGAAGCACCATATAATACAGTTAGTATTTTAGAGGAATTTACAGATATATTATTTTTGCATCCAAATAGTTATATCTACAGACACATATTAATTAGAACCAAATACTTATAAGACACTGACTTTAGTTGGTTTTGGATTAGAGTGCTAGTGAAGTTATCAAAGAGAAATTTAACTGCTGTCAGCTATCAACCTGTGCTTCAGGATAAGGGACCTTAGCTATGTCATTTCAGAGGCTACGTGTAAACTTAATCCTCAGAGAAAGTCAGAGGTGTTGACAGAAGGTATTTTACAAGTCACAAGAATGCAACACTTTCATCAGTAAGATTTTTACTGTCATCAAAAAACAGAGTTTCATTAAAAAGGAAAAGAACATTGCTTAAGTCTATATGCATGATGCAGAATGAAATTGAGAATCTGGAAGCTTATGTGATACAGTATCACACATTCCCAAAGGAACACATTGACTCTTAAAAGAGCCCAGTCCTACAGCTACTGAAACTTGTGGCATGATCCCCTTAACCCAGGAGAAAGTCTAGCTGTCTGCTTTGTGACCTTTCTGTCACCATCAAGAAAAAAAGAAGGCTCTGTCCAGGGTACAAAATTTCCTTCAAGTGAATAAAAGACATTCGGAGGGGGGAAACGTAAAATGAGGTATTTAATAAACTACAGGAAAAAAGAAAGCACCTAGTTTGAAAGACTGTTTTGAAAAAACATTTTAGTTATTTTATATACGCAATTATTACCTTCACCTGATTGTGAGTCAAGTTTTGTATAAACTATTTATACCTTTTATGCAACCTAATTCGTGCTTTTCATATTTTTACTTCGCTAGATGACAGATCTGATGGCTGGAAGAAAACAATGTTACTCAAAGGACAGTTGTTATGACAGACGCAGGTGTTGATCAACATCACTGGCTTTTTTAGGACTTTGCCCTGAGGACAGCGGAACTCCACCTGAATGGTTTTGGTGTTGTGCGGGGTACAGCATCGCCCATCATTGCAAAGGCCACAGTAACGTGGTTTGTATGTCTGCACACTCGTGCAGTTGTTGTACTCGAAGCGAACAGCTTTCACAGACTTCTTTGTTCGGACACATTTCTTCCCTTTCTAAGAGAAATAAGAAGAGACATTAGATATATCACTCCATAAGACAGACAGCAATTAAAAGTTGGCATGCAAGGATATAGGTCTACTCTGAAAACTTAAATTTATTGTCTTTATTCACTCAACAACAAGAAGAGCCTGCAGCTGCTTCAGTAGTCACTTACAGGTAACACCTGCAAGATCTATCCTTTGACAACAATGTGTTACTGGACTAGTAATGAATGACAAATAATTAAAGCACAGGCTTGTCATCTGATACAAGCAAAGTCGACATTCATTATGAAACTATACTCTACTGGAAAACTCAAGATAGTGCAGTTCCATCAGAGAATCAGGAAGCCAAACAACCAAGTCACAGGCCTACATTCAGGGGAAAAAAGAGGGGTAAAATCAATTGCAAAAGTTGTAGTCCATTCCTGTGACCCAAGGCAGCTTTAACCATGTGTTTCTTAACAAATGATTGTCTTACTTGTCTTTGGAAGTCTTCAGTGACAGAGACTCTATATACCCCCAGACAACCCTAACGGTTCACTGCTCTTACTATCTGGAAGGTTTTCACTCATGTTTTAATTTTCATGAAGTCTAAACTCTCCATTTCTTCTTGTATCCCCCATGGACTCAGAACAGGCTGCAACATCTGAACACAGTTACTACAATGAATATCTCTTCTCTTCCATTCAGAGGAAGTTCAGTTCTATTAGTTTTTCCCTAGATGAAAATGTTTTCTAGACCTCTGATCATTCTCGTTAATCTCCCCAGCTCCTTGTTCGTTTCATATCCTTTACAAAACACATTATTTAAGACTGCAGAGACTTCAGCAGTTCAGCAAAGGTCTTAGAAATGCTTTTCAACACTCAGAACTTTATATAAAGTGTTGGTCCTCTTACATAACCACATGTTATTCTACCTGACAGGAATACTTGTAATAATATGCTGAAGCAGCAAAGAAGTCAGCTCCCTTAGATACACATTTTTTTTTGCATTGGAAATGTAAATGTTGGGTTTGCTTGCAAAAAAGCATCATAAGGATTAAAATAAGGTTTAATTTACCTAAGCAGACTTTGCAGGATCTTACACATTTCTCTGTAGTTCCAGATGCTCAATAGACTAGAAATCTGACATATCCATTCTGTATGACTGAAGCAACTCTGAAGTATACATACGGTAGAACAATTGCATTTGTGGGAGAAGTTAGACTGTGCGAGCTCTCAAAATAACCTGCACATGCAATACATGTGATCTGAGACAGCTCAAATTATCACAGAATCATAGAACAGTTTGGGTTGAAAAGGATGTTTAAAGATCATCTAGTCCAACCCTCCTCCAGTAAGCTGGGACATCTTCCACTAGATCGTATTGTTCAGAGCCCTGTCCAGCCTGACCTTGAATGTTTCTGGGAATGGGGAATGGCATCTACAACCTCCCTGGGCAACCCGTTCCTCATGTCTCACCACCCTCATTGTACAAAATTTCTTATATCTAGTCCTTTAATCTAGTCTGAATCTACACTCTTTTAGTTTAAAGCCATTACCCATTGTCATATCACAACAGGCCCTACTAAAAAGTCTCTATCTTTCCTGTAGGCCCCCTTTAAGTACTGGAAGGTGCTGTAGGGTCTCCCCAGAGCCTTCGCTCCTCCATGCTGAACAACCCCAACTCTTTCAGCCTTTCCTCATAGGAGAGGTGTTCCAGACCTCTCACCATCTTAGTGGCTCTCCTCCGGACTCCTTCCAATAGGTCCACATCTTTCCTGTGCTGAGGGCCCCAGAACTGAATGCAGTACTCCAGGTGGGGTCTCAGCAGAGTGGAGTAGAGGGGCAGAATCCCCTCCCTTGATCTCCTGGAGGTGCAGCACAAAGCTACTAAGCAAATATGGCAAGTCTAATGCGTTTTTGTTAAAAAAACCCTTGCCTCTCTGAGCAGCCTACCTTATCAGATGACTCATCATTTTCACAAGGTCTTATCATGCAAAGCCGCGTCTGCTTCACCATCTCACACCGTTGATTTCTGTTCGTAACACGAATGGAAAAGCCCATTCCACAGCTTTTGGAGCAAGCACTCCATTCTGTTGTCTGCTCAATACAATTGGCACCTGAATCCGACACATCAATCCCAAGTGTGGCCTCTTGCCTGTAGGCTGGAAACAAAACCCCACAGAACTTTACTACAAGAAAAACTCCCATGAAAACCCAGTATCTAACCGAGCTCCACCACATCTGGAAAGCAACATGTGAGACAAAAAAAGGTTCAAACCCCATGCTTTTGAAAAGATTTAGGAATTTTAAAAGCTGCCTTTTTAGGAATCCTGGGTGGCAACTTCCTGCATCTAAAAATAACAGAAAGGTGCATATCAGTGTAATCAGCAAAGCATTTAGAATCAGTTCACTCAAGAATTATTGCCAATTTTCAAACCAGTTTAGAACTCTACTTTAATAACTTTTCATTCCTCAGTCTTTCCAATGGACATACATCACAAATCTGTTCTAAAGCTAAGTCACAAAAATACTTATATTAGGTGTGATTTGAGAGAGGTTGAATGATTTATCTAAACTAATAAACAGCATGGAAATAAAGTCCTTTCCTCTGAGAATCATAAAGTCACCCCATCTTGTCAATTATTGACAGATTACAGGCAGGGTGATGGTGGAGAGGGAGGAGGGAAGCAATTTCCAGGAGCTATCATAGCTACTTAAAGCCATAGTCAACTCTGACCATCATCCTGCCATATTAAGCTGTACTATGCAAATATTGTTAACTGGACAGTTTGGCTCATTGATTAGCACAGGAGCAAAGAGGAAGAGGCAACATAACTGAGCCATCGGTCACAGTTCTTGCTGTTAAGTTCCTCTACAATGGCCCTTCTGCCTTTTGCATGGTAAAGATCCAAAAAGGTGGCCTCCCAAGAGGGATGGCGATTGCTAAAAAGAATGCAGATAATTCATCTGTAGGAATTTTACAGATTAGCCTGTCACTGTCAGACAAATCAAAGAAAAGGAAAGGTAGCAGAAAGGTGTCAAACTTTTTGTTTATACCTTATGTGCCTTACAACTTATGCTTCATAGCACATTGAAAAGTTATTAGAACTTTTCTCTCTGGATCCTTCCTCACTTGTTTTTTAAATGAATTAGCCAAGTTTCAGCATAACTAACTGCTTAAGATTACAAAGAGCAGTGACTGGAAGAAAATGCAGTACCCTCTATTCTCAGTAAAAGTAGCTTATGAAAATTCATGTTGAACCAATAGTCTAATTTAAAGGGGATGGAGACATAACCCCGTAAGAAAACAGGGGGAAGATATTGTCTAGGGTTTTTCAATTACAAAAGCACTTTATGAGTTCTGCATTTTGGAATGGGTCGGGATTTTTTACAGATGCACTCACTGTGCTTATATCCACTGCTTCTCCAAGTACTCTGTAATGTTTTTAATGCCAGCAATAATGATGAGAGCTGTAGCACAGACAAGCGGGAATTTGTTGGTATTTTAGCAACCATGCTGACCACTTGTAAGAGCTGCAGAATTTAGGGGAAAAAAGTCTCTTGTAGACTAAGACGTTATAATAGTATTTATGATGTAACATATTCCTGCAGAGCAACTAGCAAGATTGAAGCTTTGATTTTTTTTTTTTTTTAGTGTGGGAATGTTTGGAGGATTAGCGGCTTGCCCCTGTTTTATTCTGCTCAGAGAACTACTGTGCACCAGATAAACAGAAATTTAAGAATTGGGAAGTAATTTAAGTTAGCTAACTTTTAAAACTGCTGTGCACATTCACCTTCTGAATCTCTTCTTTTACGTGTTGGGCTCTGCCTTTATTCATTACCACTGGTATACCTACTAGTCACTTCAGATGAGAAAAAAAGATCAGAAAAAAACAGACTTGCAAACCAAGGTGTCTTAGATTTGGCAACCCCATGGATATTTCCAGTATATATCCCCTCCTCCTCCCAATGACTGTGATAGTTTTAATTTCCTCACCAGCCATAGCAAAACCTCCCAAAATCACTTCATCATCAGGGTCGCAGATCCACTTCTCACAGCACTCTCCAGGGACTTCGATTTTTCTGGGGAAGGGGCAGTCGGGCCCGGGGAGCAGCAGGTCCAGGTTGCAGCGGGGCAGGCAGCCGATCTGTCCATCGCGGCAAGTGCACTGGTACTTGCAGCTGGGTTGGAACGTCTCCCCGTTGCGATAAATCATCCCGTCAAACACGCAGTTGTCTCCCTCCAGCACTAGTGGGAAAAGGGAAGGCATTTCGCTGATACAGTGGGCATTCGGACGGCCCCCGACCCTCCCAGCCCCTCGGCGGCCGCACTGGCCCCTCCCGCAGCACCAGGGAGAGCCCCGGCCCGCCGTAGTGCGGCCGCTTTGCCGGAGGGAAGAGGGGAGAGCAGCGCTACAGCGACACCCGCAGCGGACTCCGCGGCAGGCCCGGCCCCGGGCAGGGTCTGCCCGCCGCCCCCGAGGGACACCCCTCGCCGCCCCCGAGGGGCACCCCTCGCCGCCACCTACCCATGCAGATGCCGACGGTGCCACCGTCCTCGGGACCGCGGTCGCAGTAGAGGCCGCTGCTCTCGTCGCAGGGCAGCAGCGCGGAGCAGCGCTCGCCGCGCTGCCGGGCGCACACCAGGCAGCAGGAGCAGCCGTCCAGCACCGCGGGCACGCCGGGGGCGCAGCGCGGCGGCTCGGCCGGGCAGTGCTCCCCGCACGGCCGGGGACACGCCGGCTCCGGCCCGCTCTCCTGCGGGGACACGGCGGCCCCGGGGGCCGGGTCACGGGGCCGCACCGCCCGCCGGCTGCCCCCGGCCGCCGGCCCCGCTGGGCGCCCCGCACTTGCCTCGCACGGCCGGAGGACGAGGAGGAGGAGCAGCAGCAGGGCGGGCAGGTCTTGCCCGCCGCCTGTCGCCATGGTCCCGCCCGCCGCGCAATCGGCTCTGGCGGCAGAGCCATTGCAGCCGCTTATATAGAGGCGATCGGGGACCCCCCTCCGCCGCCACCCCCGCACGGCGGGCAGAGGGCCGGAGGCGGGGAGGTGGAGCGGGGGAGCTGGAGCCAGGCCGGGCGCTGCCCCGGCAGCACCGAGCCGCTGCCCCTGCCCTGCCCGGCGGGATCCCTCTGCCCGAGGGCGGTACATGGAGCGGGGACCAGCGCTCCGAGGGCAGAGCTGGTCACTGCCCGGGGGCCGAGTCGGCCCGGTGCTTGAAGTCGAGGGGCTCCCCCGGACGGGGCTGCCGCCCTCAGCCCATTCCTATGGCCCGTCTCCTGCCCCGTCTCCTGCCTCGTCTGCTCGCAGGCATCAGTCCATCCATCCATCCATCCCCACAAGAGCGGTGCTGCAGTCACACACGGTGGGGCAGCACAGTGCTGTCCAAGCGGCTACACCAAGGCCTCTGGCACTGCCAGTGTGGCTGGGCAGTGCTTGGCGTTGGAGACCAGCTACCCAAACACCTCTTGGGGCTGGTGGCCGATGGTGACACTCTGCTTCTGGCCCTGGAGTGAGGCGTTTGGGGCTTGGCAGGCATTACAGAGGCAGGAATGAAGCCCGTGAAGATCGGGGCTGTGGGGGTGATGAGTGCTCCTCAGTGAACTCTTCAGTTTCAAGTCATGGGCACTTTCATTACCAGAGGGGTGCAGGTGTATCGGCTGATGGGAAACAGAAGTTGCATAGGGAGCCCTCCCTGCTCTGTGCAACACGGTGTGTTGGAGCAGTGACAGACTCCTCAGTGCTCACATGGTGTGTTCAACCGCAGAGGATGCAGAGTCGACATGCCAGGCCTCAGGAATGCTTTGTAGAAGTAACTCCAGTGCTCTGTGCAGTTAAGATTTAGGCCAAGCGTAAGGGAGACTAAATCTGTTAACGGGTTTTACTTGTCAGGAATTGCTTTCTGCCCAAGCAGGCCTTCTTGGGTCTTGCTAGGATACAAATATTCTTTATCTTCGGTTGTCTGAGGCAGATAATATGCACTGGATTCTGTTATGGCTTGTTAAAGAGAAAATATTTGAAAAATAAACAAAACTTGTAAGCAGACTAGTGAAAACAAGATGCCTTTTACGTTTAAGACATGACACAAGTGGTACTCATGAATTTACAAGGCTGCTGTAACTCTTGCCAAGGCAAAAGTCAGCACAAAAACAGAAATGGCAAGATACAAGTTTTGTTTTGGACAACAGTCACTGTTCCTTTTTTGATGGTGAGTGGCAACCGCAGGGTTTCTGGAAAAGCCTGGCATTCTAGGGAAAGCAGACTTCACTCGTGCATGAATACATTATCTCTGGACATGCATTGGCCCTTCATTTTCTCACTCACATACAGCAGGACCAGCCAAGGGGAACATTGGTTGTTCAAACCTTATTAGCAGCTTGGGCATGGGTTTGAGGTTATTTCAGTCATCCACTGCCTGCCAGGTCATTTTGCCTCCCTTATCTCCTTTTTTTTTCTTTTTTTTTTTTCTTGCTTCTTTTCCTCTTATCTCTGATTTAGGCAGTTCAGTGCAAAGCCACCACTTTTATAGTACCTTGCTTGTGAACAGAATAACCAATGCTCTTGGCCAGGCATGAAGATTTGCTTAAAAGAAGTAAGGCTGTTCCTGTAGTTTTCCCAAAAGCAGGGCTGTCAGCCAGAGGGCACATACAAGACTTGTTTTTGCCCATCCCTCTGTATGTGAATCTGCTGAGGTTTTCAGTGGTGATAATCATTCACAGCCACTGAAAGTTTCCTTACCTTTCAATGAGATTCCTTCACACCATTCTTAAATATCTTCTGGTGTATAAAAAAGGTTTCACCACATAAAACTGCAGAAAGAATCAAAGAAATGAAAAAAATATTTGCCAACATACTTAATTTGAAAAAAAACCCACCTCTGTTTTACTTGCATTTAATAAATTTATTAAAGCCCTACTTGTTTATAAAATACCATTTATGAAAATATGATTATGCTACATTTTAGTACAATAAGACCAAATATCCTTTCCTGGACATTTTAGTTCCTCCAAGCATAATTTGGAGTCCATTGAACCACCAGTTCTTGGATGTTGGTTCATTTTCCTAACTGTGAACATTTTTGTTTGTACTTGTTTTACAACTTTTTAAAGAGTGCCATACTGTTCTTATCATATGAAAGTAGCCTTTGTTACTTCTCACAGAATAAAATAATGATCAGGTGGAGGGGTTTTATGCTGGCTCAGCTGGCAATGAATAGCATTTATTCATGATACAAAATTAGTAAGTACAAATAAATATTTTAGTTTCTCTGGGTTTGCTTTTTTTAAAGAACTGTACTGAAGTGAGTTAATATTTGGGTTGCCACTTTGGCTGTAGCTGTTGCAAAGAGTAATCCCTCCCAATACATAAAGAAGTTTCCTGCACCACCAAAATGGCAAAGGAAGCTTTATCTAAAAGACTGGAAACAGAGGTTACAAATAAAACTGACTCAACTCTTACAGTGTTTCTAGTTGTTGATCCTATTCCTATCTAAAGGTGTCAAGGTATGTGTCAAGGTATGACAAACCATTGCAAAAATTCAAGCATTCATAGTAATATCCCTCTGTTTAAAGCCAGCTTCCCGTCCAGCCTCCTATGAAAGTCACTGCTTCACAACAAGCAGCCCTATAAAATTATCTTCCATTCCTTTTGTATGGCAAGTGATGCAATTTTTAGTGAGTAAAATTCTCATAAATACCACATCTTTCTCATTCTCTTCCTGATTTTTTTGTCCCACCATTTTCTACTGATACAAATATGATGGTGGATGATTCATCACTTGTCCTGCACTGTCTCATAAATTAACACCCTCTCTTGTAGTCTACCTCAAAATGCAATATTTTTCTTGAAAATATTGCAGTTTTTCATTTTTAGCTATCCCTTCTCAGCCTAGATGACAGCTGCAAATTCCTAACATCTTTTGGGGCTATTAATATTGAGCATGACCTAAATATGGAACAAACAAAAGTTATATAAACACCTCAGTAAATTCAGATAATCAGTGATATTATCAGCTTTCCATACATATTGACATATCACAATAGCAAGCCAACAGACTTGGTAACGGATTGCCCTGGTTCCTCCCTCAACATATGGTAATGGCATAAGAGGTTCTTCAGCCACAAATGAAATTACTGTAGCTAAATCTGGAAAAAGATTTCTGAAGTGTGAATTGTGTTGCCTGCGGGGATGACTGGGTACCTAAACTAATATTTAGGGTTATCCTGATGGTTATCCTCATCTAGCCTGAACCATTCAAAGCAACCCTCCATGACAACAACATGCTTTGAGGTATGTACCACAGCCATTGTTGTTCAGAAGATATCTGTCCAAGGTTCAAATGAACTCTCCTACATTTTTTCTGTTTATATAACTAGTTTGTAAGCATTGTGGAGTTATAAAGTTGCTGTTTGACTTCTAAATTTTTAGCTTTCTGTCTCCTTGACTTCTGTACATTCTACAAAAAGAGGTAATCCAGAAACCAGCATTTAGCTGGGCATTTGATTTCATCCTCAATATTTAGGGTTTTAATATTGATGAATAGTGTGATTATTCTTGAAAATCATACCTGCACTACAAATATGAGGCTCAGATGTTGGTGACATTACTTCTGATGTCAGTGTTAATGAACTGTTTTATTGAGCTATTAAGAAAAGATGAGAAGATTGCTACATGTTTTTACACACAATTGAAGAAAACTTTGAAATGAAATATCATTGCATTTAAAACTGAAACATCATTTAGAAAATGTCAGAGTTTATTATGTGGGGATGGGGTGTACCATTATCTTTGAGTCAGACAATTCTATGTGCTCAGAAGAAATTCACAAGGTCCAGTTTGTTCTCATCTGTCTGTTCCACCAAAAAAGTTCAATCAGTTTCTTTCCCCCAGACCTATTTCAGCTACAGAGCCGGCTGGGAATACTTACATGTTATCTACATGTTATTACATATAGCTTTGTTATTTTGGGGAATATATGAGGAAATGTAGGTTTATTAAGAATGACATTATTATTTGCTCATTTATAATTGGTTCAAATGTCAAAATGCTATGGTGTGTGCCAAGACAATTCTCCCTTTTTAGTCAAAAGGGTGCAGGTGTAAGTATTTGCTGTGATTTCATTCAGACCGAGATTTTTAGAAGAGAGCAAGAAGAACAAACATGGTATGCATCCTGTTAAAGATAGCACAAAGAGTAGGGTAGGAATGGCTCATGTCCACACTGCTTAGGGCTGTCATTCTTTAGTGCAAATACTTTCTATACACTAATTAGGTTTGGATTTTTATCTCCCTGGAATTCTCTGTATCCTTATGGCCATAAACCATTATAATTTGGGTGAGGGTGGGATGACTGAACAAAGTGCTTGAAGCAGCATAAGGGCTATGCTACAGCCCATCAAAATAACATTTTTAAATAAGGAACCTGAGGGCAGGTGTGGCGTGCCAGCATCTTTGCTGTGAAGCCTTTGCTCCCTTTCAGGATGACAGTAGGCATGTATATTCAGGAATATGTACTCACTTTCCGTAGTGCCAATTTCTATGTTGGGAACCAAAGGGATGAGACTCGTGCCAAAAAAAGGTCATTAATATTTGCTCTCAAAAGACATAAGATCGTTATTATTTGCTTATTTAATTTGATTTTTAAATTTATTAACCCTAAATAGATAATTATGCTTTTTGTCTGAAATGACCAGATTAACATTACTGAAAATCTACGCTGGGTCCATTTTGCTGCATGAGATGATAATGGATAAACAGAATTGGGGAATTTTTCCTTTCTTTATTCGCTGAGTGAAACTCATTTGGTGCAGAGGGCCACCAAGGTCCTTGAGGGATGTCACCTAATTTCTATTCCAAGAGTTTCAGTAAGAGATACATGGACATGTATCTCAGTAAGAGACACCTGTGGACCATGTGGGGTTCCCTGGATGAAAGAGCTGTTAAAGAGTTGCCTCTCAGATT